TATAATTTCTTAAAATAATGTATTGATTTATATTATTAAATTGAAATAATATATATATTAAATTATTGACAAACAAATAATAATCTTATTATCAAATTTATTAAAAAAAATTATTTTAAAAAATAAATTATTTTTTCTAAATTATGGCGGCTAACCCGCCAGCCTCGCTAACCCGTCCCTTGGCGGGCGGACCAAGGTCTACAACCCGTCATGACTATAACAGTCGGCCGCGCCCGTTTTGCCATCCCTATTCTCAACTCATACTATCTAAAACCATATATAAAATGAAATATATTAGTCCTAACTTTAAATAATATATTATAAATTATATCATTATGTTCTTTAAAGGTACTTTTAATATTTAGATTTTTTTAAATAATTATTTCTCTATTTTGTAGGGATAATTTTTCAAATACATAACAAAATTCGTTATCTAATTGATTCGTTATCTAATTTATAAGAGGTTGATGCTTGATCGTAATGGTTGAATCACAAAAATAATTCTCAATTTGCTTGGGTAGGATAAAAATTAAAATACTATTTTTATTATAATTTTTAGAATTGAGAAAAGATAAATAAATATATAATTATTATTCTCATTTTAAATATTAATTAATTAAGTGTCTAATATTAAATGAATAAATTTGTTAAAGATATTTTTAGAAAAATAATATAACTTATTGATATACTTAAGGTTAATAATTAAATTAATAATTTTTTTATAAAGGGTTCGAATAAGTTGAAATTTATATTTTTAAATCATATAATTTTAAAATATCATTTTAATTTATTTATTTGTTTTGGTTTATTGGGTTTAATAGATTTTCGAGATATTATCATATTATGGTTACTTATCCTTTGGTTTAGGTTTCAGAAATGCAGTTCAAGTCCATTAACAATTTGTTTCAAAAATTTATATATTAAAAATATTATATTCACTTATTAATGAAGTTATTAGAAAATTAATTAAATTTATCATGTGAAAAAAATTTAAATATGTTTTTAATATTTTAAAATAATTTTATTTTTTTATTTCACTAATTACTTTCAAATTATTTTGTTAAACTTTATAATATGTGAATTATTAGGCTGTCTAATTATATATTTCTCTAAAATATGGTTTGTATTAAAGTAAATATTATATTTATACAATAAATTAATTATACTTTAAAAATATATATATTTTTTGGTCATTCAATAATTTTTTAAATTAATATCAATATAATATAATTAAAAAATATATCATGCATCACACTGTCAACCAGGTTAAATAAACCAACCAAATTAGGGTTAAATAAATGTGAGGAACGCATAAATATTTTATGTCTTCAGCCAACCTTACAACCTCACTTCCATTAAATTTAAATTAGTTTGTGAACATAAATAATAATTCAAATTGAATTTCATAATTTGACCAATTAATTTTTTTTCTTATAAGTAGCAAATAATTCTTATATACTGTTTAATTTGCAAACCGACTTATGTAATTTTTATTTTAAATCAAAATAACAAAATATTTAAAATAAACCTTGACTTTTGTTTTAAAGGAAACACAAATAAATTAAAATATATTATTTTTATATGATGAATGTATATAGTGAATTTGTATAATTTATTTATTAAAATTTGATATTACAATAGTTTAAATATACCATGATAACAATTAACATAATTTGTATAATTTTTTGGCGCCCTAATAATATAACTTATTGATATACTTAAGGTTAATAATTAAATTAATAATTTTTTTATAAAAGATTCGAATAAGTTGAAATTATTGATATATAATATTAAAAAATGGTGTAACTATTATATATTAATTATTGATATATAATATTTTAGTCTTACCCATGTTATTTTATCTTTTATAATTTTATACAATTTCAATTTTTTAGTTTCTAATATTTATGTTGGACCTTGAGTTGTACTATTTTCCTTCAAAGTTTTTTACAGAACAATCAAATTTTTCTTTCAAGGTTTTGAACGAGGTAACTATATCAATAAAAAGGTTTCATAGACATTCTTTAAATATTTATATTATGGTCAGAATGAGACTTACGCTCGAAAACCGAGTAATGTGCGAAATCCGCATTACGTACAAAATTCGTACTACGCTCGAAAAACGACTAATGTGTGAAATCCGTACTACGTACGAAATTTGTACTACGCTCGAAAGCCGAACAATGTGCGAAATCCACACTACATACGAAATCCATACTACGCTCGAAAACCAAGCAATGTGTGAAATCCGCATTATGTACGAAATCCGTACTACACTCGAAAATCGAGCAATGTGCGAAATCCGCACTATGTACGAAATGCGCATTATGGTTGAAATACGACCTAAGCAGGTTAATCTTCGTCTAAATTTAAGTACACGTAGAAGCAATTTTCACACACTACATTAAGACGACGGTCACTGTAAGTATGATTTTTAAGGGTTGTTTATTCCTTTTAAGTGGTTGAACTTCGCAATTGTATCATGAAATATTAAGGAATGAAGTTATTCGACGTTTATTTCGGTTTTTAGTCTTTGCATTAAAAATATTTTTCTAATTTAAGACTTGGGGCCTGTGGTATGTACATAGAGATTGAGTCTGGTTGGGTTCGGGTTCAACTGCATGAGTAAAGTGGGTCAAGATAAACCTATTTAGAGAAAATGGACTTGATTGATACCTAATGGGCTCAATATATAGATAATACGGGAAATAAGATATTATTGGGTCTAATAGATGTGGCAGGAAAAAAATCTTAAAAGAAAATTTGACTATAAAAAGGAAAGACAAGACCAAAATGATATCTCTCTTTTATTCCAGAACAATCATATTTTTCATCTTTCTATTTTCCTATAAAATCTTCAGCTTTTGTTTATGTGAATTAAGTTATATAAGTATGTTTAAAACATTTTGGATTGGACTAATGTATAGACTGCGGTTCTACTTTCACCTTAATGTTATTCACTAATAATGGTTTTTTTCTGTCCTCTGTCACAGGTTTCTCTCATCCTACTCGGCCACATATTGATCTTATTTGTGATAACTGTGAGACTCTGAAGATCGATACACGATGATCACTAATAACAAAAAATTCAGAGCACATGTGAAAAGTTAATAATAATCTATCATACCGAATGCGGTGTAAGGGTAATTCATCGTTAACACCGGACAAGCTCACTGAATCCTATCCTATACACAACACCAACTCCATTCCATCATAAATATGATGGGGGATTTTATCATTTAGACTAAAAATGCGGAAGTATAAAAGTGAAGCCTCTTCAAACAGAAACCACGTTTGGGAAGCAAGAGCAAGGTTGGATCCAACTTCGCTTCCCATAATGGTATAAATACCATTTCGAGATATATGGCATCATGTGAAAAAGCTGCCAAATTCCTATTCACTTTTATTTCATCAATATCAATAACAATTATGTGTTCAGAGAAGGCCCCTTGTAAGAATGATGTATATGAGTTGAAATACATCCGGCTGCCCCCTACCCTACAAATTTTAGACCAGCGGGACAATAAAAAAAATTAAGAATGAAAATTAAACCTTAATTCTTAGGACAGATCTATTTCCGTTTTAAATATGATGGAAAAAATTTGAGTTAACAAAGTAAAGGTGAATTTGTGTTTTCTCCGTTTTAAAAATGTTAAGAGCGATAACAGTAATACAATCTCTATCTCCATTTTATTCTCATCTTAGTTTTATATTTAAATTTAAATTTTAAAATATTAATATTTTAAAAATATTTCCTTTTTATTTCTATTTCATATAAGATCATCTTTTTATAATTCACTATTTTTTATTTTATTTTTATCCACTTTTTAATTTTTTTATTTTTTTTAATCTTTTATATCAATTAATTTATTACATTATTCTCTTTCTTATCCTACCTTTTTATTTTTCATATTTCCTTAATCTCTCTCATAAATTTTTTTAAATCTTTTCAATCAATTTGATGAATACAAAATTAAATTTTTTCTTTTTTATCTTTTTCTAAATATTTTACATAAATTTTAGTAATAACTAATATTATTTTATTTATAATTTATATTTATTAAGTTTTATTATGTCATAATTTTTTATCTTATTATTCTTATTTATCATATATCAAATTTTATCTTAATAAAATAATTGTATTTTAAAATATTAAAAAAATTGACAATTTAAATTTTTATTACTTCACACTAATTAAATAAGAATTAACTTATTAAATATTTTCTTATAAATTATATATTTTATATTTTTAAATAACATCTTAAAAATAAAAACTTATATATCTAATCAAATGTTTAAATAAATTATTATTAATAATGTTATAAATATTCAAATATTTAAATATATAATTATAATAATAATAATAATAATCTTATAAATATTATATATATATAAATAAAAAATAATTAAATATTTTTTTTACATACATATTTTAATATAAATATAATAAATTAAAAAAATATATATATAATTAATAATTATTATAAATTATAAATATTTATTTATATAAAAAAATACATACTAAAATTAATTTATTATAAATATAATTATCAGTTTAAAAATAATATAAATTAAGAATGAAATAAAAAACTCGAAATCCAGTAAAGATGAAAATGAAGATTTAATTTTAAGTCTGACAAGAATCGGGACAGAGTGATTAAAAAGTCGAGGACGGAAATTGGGAGACAAACCCACCGCCCCGTTACCATGCCTGCCAAAAGGAGAATCTGGTCCCAGAAGTAAGTATCCAATTGCCGCTAGATTTTAAGAACATAAAATAATTATTCCTCCACTATAAAAACAGAAATAAACAGGCTTTATCCCCATACAGGCAGTAAGGTTGAGAAAAATTGCACACAGAAACTCGCTCAAACCAAGAGCTTCCTGTACGACAAATGTCTGCTTAATAATTCCAACTTTGGTAAGAAATCCGAAAATAATTACAAAATTGAAAATTCTCCATTTTAACTAAATCCAAGTTCCCATTTCAAGCATCTACGTTAGTAATAGCCAACAACTTTCAGATCATTTTTCTCTGTATGTTGTTCAGCATCGCCGCCTTCGCCTAAAAGTACAACACGACCTGAAAGGAAGTGGTGTTTGAATCAACTCCACAGGCAGAGAATTAAAGATTCTCAAGTAATCTTGTGTCACATGCCAGACATTATTTTAATCATAAGCTACCTAAAATCTTTAGGCTCTATTAATCCATGAAGAAAATGAAAAATATATCATGCCAACATCTATCCTCCAAGATACCGAGGAAAAGCAGATAGATATGGATATAAACTAATGTCAAAACTATAAGATTTATGTAGGGAAGGGGAAAAGGAAGATTTTTTAATCATGAATATTAGGTAGGATATAATTGATAGGTCACAAAATACCAACCAAATGGTCATATTTATACTAATAAATAAGTATACGCCACAAAGGCCACTAATATAACAGAATCATTGCCATAATTACATAAGAAAACAAATCTATAATTACAATGAAATCGGGATGGTGGAAACCACTCCCAAAGATTGCTTCCTCAGTCAGATGACCTATAGATCTCAATTCCATAATATTCTAAGATATTCTAACAATTAATGCATCTTTTTTTTAAGTGCAAGATCAACAGGGAGTAGGGGACAAAAAGTATATATATTGAATCATGAATTGAGCATATAAATTAGTCAACATACAAAAGATAAATAATACAAGATAAATAATACAAGGTTCAACATTCACTTGTAAAGCTCGAATAACTCATGAATTTTAAGGTAGGACGAATTTGAGTAAAAATAAGGGATTATAATTTATAAAAAAGCCATTGGCAGCATTTGAACATTGAAATTATTCCTACGCGATTTTACATTTTTATGCTAGACAATTAACCAAGTAACATGACATTATAATGGAATGCTACCAAAGCAAGCCTTCCCGTCAGCATGAGTCATGAAGGATGTGGCAGAATAACACAAGACAATGCAAACAGCATTCTCACTTCATAAATAATTCACCTCCACAAAAATAAGACTTCCCAATTTTGTTCAAACAAGAAAATTGGATAAAACAATAAAAGCAAAGACGAGCAAAGCGAGAGCTAGAAACAACTCAAGCAGAGTCGTTTAAAAACATCTAACAGTACCGATCAAATTAACATGAGGAAATAGAGTGAAGAGTTACCGTTCCGACGAACAGCAACTTCTCGAATTCGCCGGGCAAGTCCAGTGATCGGATCAGTGAAGATTTTGGCCTCGAGGTTCCCCTCCACATACAGGATTGAACTACAACAGCAAGCACCATCAGTAATGCGCAATAATTCGTTAATAACTGAGAAGAGTTCACCAATCTCTGGGAAGAGTGGCACGTGAGCGAGACTCACCCGGAAACAACGTGTTTGGTGAGAAGAGTTCCCAATCTCTGAGGGTAAACGGAGACACGATGCCACTGAATAGCGGAACGATTGGCGAAGTCCCTAGGGTTCTCGTTCTCCAGCGGCCTCCGATTGTTGCGAATCCCTCCGGTGCCGATGGAGAGAAGCGTGACGACGGTGCCACTCTTGAGCTTCTTCTGGAACGGTACCTGCCCCGCCTTCCCTATAAGTATGGCCTACGCAACAAACACAATTGAATCAATGGTGCATCGAATTTGAACTGTGAAAATGAATTCGACAATGCGTGGTGTTAACTGCGAAATTAGATTTGAAATAGGAATACCCTGTATATGCCAGAGTCAAGGCCGTTCTCTAGGGGGCGATCGCCGATTATCCTTTCCTCTCCTTGTGCAGCGTCGGGTGCAGGTGCTGGTGAGTCGGGTAGTGAGTCAGCCTCGTCCAAGTCAGAAATGTGATCCGTGGAGAAGTGTAGTGGAAGGTGGTGATAGGCGTTAGGGGTTCGAAGCAGAGAGCGATAGAGGCTCCTTGAGAGCGTGACCATGGAGCTCGACATTTTCTGTGCAGTGGTTACTGGTGGTGGTGGGTTCTAAAACCCTAGCAAGACCAAACCCCACCCACCTATCTAAACTTTATGGAAAATAATAGCAAGTTTTTACGTTAATTACTCTAATTTTTTAATTCATTGATGTTTTACAAAAAAATTCAGGGGTACGAAAATACCAAATTCATGAAGGGTAGGAAGTTTTATTTCCACAATACTATTTTTTTATATTTATCTATTATAACAATGAAGGGAAAAAAATATAAAAAAGTTAGGATAAATGGTAAGAATTGTTATATGTATGTTATATTTTTTATCATGTTGTAAATAAAAAATGTTTATTCACTTTCCAACTATCTATTAGATATTCCTATTAGTAAAGTTTCGCACCTGGGTTATTTTTTTTATACAAAACCTAATTTAAATAAAATAGCAATTAATTATTGTAGTATGTTATTTAAATTAAATAATAATCGATTATATGATTTAATTAAATCATTTTAAATAATCAATATTTTATTTAAAATGTTCTAAAAATATCTCTAATAAGAATAATTAAGTTATTTTTATCTTAAAAAATATATTAAATATTAGATTATTTTTAAATAACTAATTATTAATTTTACTTCATTAAATATTTTTTTAATAAATTTAAAAAAAGTTATTATCTCTCCTATTTTATTTTTCTCATTTTTTATTTAATTTTTTATAAATTATTTTATGAAATAATTATGAAAAATATTTAAGAAACTTAAATTCATCCTATTATTTCTCAACGAAGAGTTACTTCAACCCACTCATCCTTTACTTAAATATTTTTCATTGTATATGCTCCAACTGGCTTTTAAAATAATTATTATAAAATCCAATAAAATGTTTTGAGACTGGACAAGGCTATAAAAACTAATTTGCATTGTCCGTGCCTAGGCTGTATCTCTAAAGTCTCATTGTCTTAAAATAACGTTATTTATTATTACCTTCTAATTTAAATCAAATTAAATTTTATTTTAAATTAGTTTGATTCATTGCAAAAAAATAATAACAATAAAAATCTTCATATAGTGTTTTTGTGCACATAGAAACGGTCTACAAAATACATATAGTGAAATGGTTTTTATTTATTTTTATCTCCATTTAAAAACTTCTGATTTTAGACTTACACAGGTGTTATTTTTAGTTCCTTTTTTTAAAAAAATATTTTAAATTATTTTAACTCTTACTATGTGAATTAAAATTAAAGAAAAAGAAACATGCACACAAATTAATATATAAAACATTTTTAAATCTAAAACTGAGCATATTGAAATTTTAGTAAGGGTGATTCAACCTAAATGTGAGCATACTGTGGGTGGCTCTTCCCCATATTTCTTTCTCAATCTAAAGGGACCCACGTAGGTTAGTGTACCTAAAATCATGACATGAAACAACTAAACGGCTACCATACAACACAGCTATTTGCATCTTCTTATCCATGAAATCTCCTAGGTATCCCTTACTCTATCTATCTATTCTTCTTCCTATTTTTCTTTTTTTCTTTTTTTTTTTTCCTTAATACCATGATCTCTATATATGAAATGGAACAGCTGGTGCAGACATTAACATGAACCAATTCTCAAGGATTGCAAATACAACAACGCAGAAATGCTACAAAGAGTAGTGCGATATTCCGCTCAACCATTCAATCTTCCAACTCGCACGACACCACCCTTACTTTCGCCAATCCAATTAATACCCACTTCTCCATCTTTCCCAATCCTCAAACAGCAATGCAGATTATCACGTCGAGAGCTCACAATCTTCAGCAACTCTTGCTTGCTACTTCTCTTGGGTACTCAGGCAGTGGATGGATCCAGCGCAAGAGCAAAGGCAGACGTTGCAAACACAAACAACAGTGACCAACCACAAGAGAATGTGGTTTTAGCAGAAGATGTAGCTAACACAAGCAGCAGTGCTCAACCAGAAGGGAATCTGGTTTTAACAGAAGATGTTGCTATCACTAGTAACAGTGACCAACAAGAAGAAAATTTGAATTTAGCAGAAGAAAATGTAACTAACACAAGTAACAGTTATCAACCCGAAGAGAATATGACAACCACTTCCAGCTGCACTGAAAGAAAAATTACCAAACAAGTATTCTTAGACATATCTATTGATGCTGAACCTGCTGGTCGCATTACAATAGGGCTTTATGGAGATGAGGTCCCTTCAGGAGTTGATAGGTTCAGTAAGGTTGTAAGTGGAGCTGCTGGTATTAGCTACAGAAGAAAAGAGTTTGTCAAAATCATGCCCAATTATGTTCAACATGGTGGCCTTAGATCCTATGGCGTGGATGCTGAATTTGCTATGAGGACAGGTAGCAACTTGGGAGCTAATAGCCTGGTTCAAGAATGGGAGAGGGAGTATGAGAGATGTCCTGGGACTAAGAACGTGGCCGGAAGTGTAGGCATTATTGTGAGAAACCCATCAAAACCACCCCCGAAGATGAAGCTGGTTGCAAAACAAGGGAAGCTTCAGATTGATCAAGAAGAAGTAGGTATTGATCCCAATGGTACAGAATTTGTCATAGCTACAAAGGATTCACCAGAATTGGATTCATCGTCTCTGGTAATTGGAAGAGTAATTGGAGGCATGGAGGTCGTGCAAAGGATAGGTCAGGTTAAAACTGTACAAGAGAATACAGGATCTCCATATTTTAGGTGAGTTTAACAGATAGTGTTTTATGCCATTATATTAGTCGAATTGTGTATGACTTGATCTTGAGACATGTCATATTTGTTTTCTTCCCTATATCTCTGCGGCAATATACAGTTGAAAATGTTGGTATGATAATTTTGCTAAGTATACTGATATTATTACAGGGTGGCAAAGCTTATAGGAGACAAGAGAGCTGTTGTAGCAGAAAGAGGATTCAATCGCCCTTATTCGAAGGTCGTGGTTACAAACTGTGGTTTAATGCAGTAACACAACCGTTTTTATTTGCTCCCTTCTCTAGTTGATTTTCAGTGTAAGCGTGGGAGGACAGATCACGTTCTATAATAATCACCTTTGTCATTCAACCCTATGTAACATCTGTCATTTGTATTACAAATGAGGGGAAAAAGATTACAGCTCCTTCCAAATGGCAAACTAATCGTCAATCACAGTTATCAAGTGTGCAATAAATTACCTGCTTTTGTTAAGTTAAAGAAAACAATTAGACCTTTGATACATGCCACGAAAAAAAAAAAAAACGACAGTATGCACAACATCTAGATCGAGGAGGGAACTGTTCTTGAATTAGTACTTCTCGTATGTATTTTGCCCTGGGTCCAAGCGATTATGTATTTTGCCCCGTAATATGAGTGGACTTCATTTTTTTCGTCGATGGAGACATGAAAAGCTTTCTAATTGAACCCACAGGATCATCCACCTGCATGTACACACACACACGCTATATGTGAGACAGTAAACCTCCATAAGTAACCATTCCACAGTCAAATAGGCATACACATATGTTTACCGACCATGAAAGGAACAGTTCGATGCAATTTTCAACAATGTTGGCAAACAAGTCACAGTAAAATAGAGGCAATATGAAAGACTATAATTTCAGACTTTCCTGCTTCCCGTCTCTTTTATAACAGTATTATTAATTATTCACACTTTTGCATGATTATACAAATGACTAATTTCAGCTCCAGATTAACCCTGGGGTCTTGAAAAATTTAAACCCATATATTTCGGGGTTTTTTTTTTCAAGTACCAAACACAGGTTTGTCAGAGAATGGAATGTACTATGTGAATAAGGCAGGGTCATTCCAAACACTTCGGTCCATGATATTGCTGTCCACCCACCAATTTACTATGATATATAATAGTCATCCAATGAATAAAAAAGAGTAATAATATCAGCAAGAAATACCTTAAGAATGGGCAGAGATGATGGAGATCTATTTGGTGATCGTGGCAACTGATTTTTCTGATGATACAAAGCAGATAACGTTTGTTTCCACCCAGCTTCCCCGTCATTTATTGATGCAATCCAGGGGCAAAAGTGTCTGTGTTGCTTGATTGGATCAAATTCCATTGCTTTATCAGACGGTGCGGGGTTCTTAAACTTAGCTGGAAAGCAAAGGGATGAAGATTCATAAACTTTCTATTTCTCTTTTAAATTACATGGTGACAAGTGAAGTACACATTGTCATGCTAAACAGACAATGATAAAATTGTCAGAATATACGTCACACCTTAATTCATATTCAAACATTCAATGTTAATGAATTATCAATGAACCAAATCATAGTGCTTACCAAAACTAGAATGTACGATGTCACTGCTAATAGGATTCTCTTCTCTGTCACTACCAACACCGCCATCCAAAGTCTTGTGAGAAACAGAAAGTGCTTCACCTTCTGTAGAGTCTTTCTGCACAGCAATATTTTAGTTAATGTGGACTTCCAAACAACTAGCCATAGCAAAACTACTTATGATCAAGCATTTTGTTAAGTGTTACTAATTACCGGACAAGATAACTGCGCAATAATTTTTCCTATATTTGTCTATGTTACTACCTGTGCGTTCGACAAATAAAAACCTCTAACCTGAGAATTACTAGGATATCCTGCAGCTGAACTATTCAATTTATCAGCATCTGTGTGTATAGGCATCTTATCCTCAAGAGCAAATGATTCTCCTGCATGATGGGTGTCCACTATAACATCTGAACCAGATATACTTGCTTGAGAACCAGTTTCACAATTTGCTATCTGTGTGATTTCAGATGACACAGGAACAAGTTGTCCAATAGAAGCAGCATTAATGGTATTGTCAGTTTTCTCCTGTAAATTTGATTCATTACCAACTTTGTCCACAAAAGCATGATCCCTAAAATTAGAATCATAAGAAAGGCGAGCCCTTAAATTCTGACCAATAACGGGAAGAGATATTATTGCCTTAAAGTTTTGCTTTGTTGGGAGAGGACCCCCTGCAATTGTCATATTTAGACTTGAAGAAGTATCCTTTGACGAATTTGCAACATCAGGCATGCCATCCTGCCTATTTTCAAGATCATTTTTATTTAATAAATTGTGGGCCACAAAAGCATTTTCACCGTTCACTTCAGCATATCCCTCTAATCTGAATGATTCTACAGGCCGAGGAACTGTAGAGAATGCCCACAATCCAATAGTGGCCCCACACAGGGTACAATCTAATACTGCAGAATTGGGATCCATTTGTTCCCCAATAGACTGCATGGAGTTTTCATCAGTTTTATTTTCATCTGTGCCAGTAGAATGAACTGCAAGATTAGTTGTATTTTTAAGAGACTGATCTGATATATCCTTCCAATCAACAACGTAAGGTAGAGGACGAAGTTTCCAACCGCATAAACTTATAAGCTTTTGAGCCTGCAAAATTTAAAAGCCCCAGTAAGCATTATTTAAAAGTGGAGAAAACAAAGAAATGTTAATACATACAGTAAGATGTTCTCCTCATAAAAGAAAAAAAAGGTAATGAAAATATATTGATCCAAGTACAGTCATCAAATGCATTTAGCCATATAGTGATAAAAAATTCAGGATAAACCATTATTTGTGCTGAAAAATGAACATATATTTGGGGGAGACAGGTACGTACAAAAATCAGCCAAGTTCCACCTTAATCATGGGTGTTAAAATCATGAATTGACTTTTAAACTTGCATGAGTTTAATAATTCCAGGAGTAAAAATATGTTAACTTGCACACAAATAATTTTTGTTTAGACTCGTTCAATTTGAGCCAGTTCAGTCAAACTCATTCAAAATTGTGAGTTTGAGAGTCCAAAGTGAATCAGTCCAGCTAAATGAGAACCCCAAGCACACACACAGCCAATATGACAGCACTCCATCTCCTTTTTTACAATCATTAGGATCTAAGCCCCTGAAAAAGCCCAGACATATAAACATGTCTCCAATTGGCCTAACTGATGTGCAAAGTGCATGAGTCTCAAATGAGTTTGCATCGACCTGAAAGGACTGTATTACAGTGCATGATCTGCCTCTAACAACTCCAATGACTTGCATCAAACAAGGCACCAATTTCTTGCATGCAAGAACAAGGCATCACTTCATTAAACCTCTCGGCTGTGAATGTATGTTCTAGATCCCAAATAGATTAGAGATATAACCAAATTATAATCTATAAGTGGGTGCAAACTTCATCTTAAAAGTCAGTTTAGTAAGGTTAAATTAGACTCAAAAGTCCACTTTGTAATATGATATTAGAAACTTTCCTCACAAAATTTGTTGAGTCTTTCATACCATCAGCTATCAGATTACCCATAAATATTTAGTCTCACACTCAAGATGTGCAGTTCTCAGTATGAGGGGATGTTTTGGAGATCCCATATCAACTAGCGATAACACCAAATTATGTGATTGAGTGTAAACCTCACTTTTATAAGCTGGTTTTGTAAGGTTAAGTTAGGTTCAAAATCCACTCTCTAATAATGTATATCACCATTGTGACTTATGTGTTGAGTCTAAGCTCCAAAACAGCATGATCCAGCAGTAACAGTTGCAATTTGTGGGTTTTGTTTTACTCAGAAATTATTTGTGTGAATTTTGCATGCACATATGAATAAGTCATATAGTATTGTGAATCCCATTTTACAAAATTTCTGAAATTGGTGGATCAAGGTTCTTAACCAACATTACTGTTACAGCACCACTTCCAAAAGTAGGAAAAATGCCCCTAGAAATAGGTTTTTTAATATTATTTTTGTAAAGTTTACAAGTCTACGAATCCTCCATAAGTTTTCATAATTCATGGGTTTGACAATCTTGCTTCTAATTCATTTGCAAATGAATAATAGTTCAAGACAGGTCCAGTTTTGGAAAGCATCAACTGATAAGGCGGGCACCAAAGCCAAAAATTCATGAAGAATCTCCTAAGAATGTTATTAAAGTGCATGAACCCATAAACAGACATAGAAAATCCTATCTAGCAAACAATTGTCATGTTCATTCACCATTAAAGAAATGGACACACAACAAGACCAACATGCAGATACCAGATCACATGCCACTAATTGAAGACAATGCTTCCATACATATGCAGAACATAAGAATTTTGAACTTTCTAGAAAATCAGTTACTACCTGATAATAAAATTTCAGTTCCTCCTGACTACTAACATCCCCAATCCCAGAATTTTCAGTAGATCCATTTCCATACTCCAGCATCAAAGATTGTCCGAGAAAGTCTTCCAGAAGTGGGCTTTGGCTTCGGATGTAGTCTATAGCTGAAGGTGAAATACGTGGAAGAGCTGAAAGTTGCAATAGTGTAAAACAGTGTTCTCTAAAATTATCAGCTAATATCTGAGGAGTTGTAGGAGGAAATCGTGCCAGTGTTTCATTGCAGGCATTATCAATCCATGGGCAAAGTAATTTATGTCCATTATCCAACTTTAGGCTAAATACCAATGCTGCCTTCTCCACTGAACAGAAGACATGCTAGTTAAAAAATCCATATCATTGAATGTTTTTGTGAGTAATATAATAACTGAAAACAACAACCACATACCTTGTTGCTGATTCCAAGATGCTGGTGTAGAGAAAAGAAGACGTGCTCCACATGCTTCACAGGCTATGGTATCAATATCCACATTGGTCCAACCTCTACTAGCACAATTTACAGCACTCACCACCTGAATTGTCAAAGAAGGATAAGTCTTTACTTCAACAGAATTGTCGTTCTTGAATAAAAGCAAACAACTTAGCAGAAAGCCAAACAGAATTAGTTTTCATCCTCAAGTAGAACAAATCTATCTTACACAGCTCATCTATAAAGGTCTGACCAATCATATAAGGCATCACTTGTTCTTACTTCATTAGCACAGGGTATTACTTTTAAAAATCTTTCCTAGCTTAAAAACTGAATGGAGCAACATTCACCATTAGCCAAATGTTTGGTATTTTTGTTAATCAATAAAAGGTTCATCATACTCTTTATCTTCCTCAAGCATTGTCTCTAGTTTATTATTGTGTATCTGCCTCTTATTTTTTAGCAACGCATGCACATTGCCTCCCACACACATGTACTAAAAGGACTGAATTCTAATCATGACACTAAAAGGCCGGTACACGGTAACATAAACACAAGAGTTGATTCACTAAGAGTGTATTTAGGAGCCAGATTTTGAAGGGGAAGGGAGGGTAAAATTTCCATTTTCAATATATATTGTCAAATTTATAATATTTTAAAATGACAGATTAACATAAAGTTATCGCCATGATCTTTTATTTTCATAACCTTGTGTTTCACAACAAAGCCCACTCCCAAACACACCCTTATCAGTAAGGAGAGATATAGAGAGCAAGAAAATAACCTTTGGTTTAGCAAACCATGACATAGATTTGAATGTAGCTAATCTCCTCATAAAGTCACCACGATCCCACGGTCGGCAGAGTGGTCCCTGCAGTGCGGTGGACGACGCAGAGGAGGACTGTTGTCCCTCAGCAACATCCCCTCTCCGACTCAACTCCATAAACCCTGACTGGTAAGGACGTTTCTTACTCCCTGATAACTGCACTCCAGATGAACTGCAACACACAAACTCGTTAGTTATCATTACCAATACCTATTTCCAACAAAATAAAAAGTTTCCAAAACCAATAATAGACTCACTTTTGAGTGCATGCTAAACAAGCACGCACGCCAAACACTTGAAATCAAACACCATAGCAAACAAATTAGCAGAACTAGTAAGACGCAACACTGGTAACTAGTAATTACAAATTTAGCAAACTACGGTTAGGCAATGTTGATGTAAAGAGGGTAGAGATACACGTTTATCGTGATTCCTATCGTGTTATTATCAAATTTCATGGATTGCAAACGAAGAACAAGATCGAAGAGAGAACCTGGAGGAGGAAGGGGGTTTGGGAGGATGGAAGAGCTTGTCCATGATGGAATGAAATCTCTTTTCAGAATCTTGCGCCATTTTTATTTTATTTCTTCAATTCAGATTTCAAAACGAAAGTGTGGAACATCAAAGTACACGCAAACGCCCGTTTCAGTTTCTGCTTGGGATCAAACGCGTTCTATCTCACTTGTGCTGGCCTACAGTAGCGGCCGGTGATTTCCACCAGACCCACCTTCACCTGCGTCAAATTTAAAGGCCCTGTTTGGATTGTGCCTCGCCTTCCTCCATTAGGAACTGTATGTATCATAAAGGGTGGATTTGCTTCACATAAATAATGCTAGGCCTATTGTTTGGATTGGGCTCAAATTCTTTTATTCTGATACATTTTTTTTCTAAATTAATTTCTAAAAATTACTTTTGGTAATTGGTACATGTTCCACTATTTATTTTATAAATATATATGCAGTTAAATTATAAATTTAATCATCTTTCAATTTCTGATCCGTAATTTATTGGAATATATATTAAAAAAATCAAAATTACATAATTAAGAGAGGAAACAAAATTACAATTTATTATTATGTATTTAGTGTGTTGCAAAAAAATGTATTTTTGGAAAACTTAATTCATCCTCTAAATTTTGTCAATTTGAACAATATTTTTTATCTACAGTGGATAAAAATGGGTTAATTAATCTTTCTTTTGGTCACTGATAAAAAAAAAGAAAAAGTGAAATAGATTAGTCAGCATGACTAAAATGAATTGAAGGATTTCACTCTCACCACCAGCCACGGTCCAACAAGTCCGTTTGTTACGTTTTTTTTTTTATAATAATTATATGTTTGTTTAGAAATTTTAAAAAATACTTAATTATATAAATATTTTTTAAAATTTTATTAAATATTTAATATTTTTTGTTAGATAAATTGATAACTATATTTAATAATTACTACCACAACTACTACGGTATAAAATAGAAAAACATAAGTATATAAAATAATCATAATTTCAAATTAAATAAAATTAGTAAGATGAATTGAATAATTTTTCCAAATTATATCTAGTTAAGTTGGAGTTTAAATAAAATGTCTAAGTTAAATTAAATTTATATAAAATATATATCTTTATAAATTTATTAAAATTATTTTATTTATTTAACTGTTTTTTAATATTATTTATTATATATTTATTATTATAATATTTTATATTAGTTATTATTTTTTAAATTGTTAATTATTATTGGATGGATTATTATTATTTTGTAGGTTTTATATAAAAAGACTTAATCTAATCTTATTATTTATTTTTAAATGCACTAATATTTGTATAAAAATTTTGATATATCTCATTTAAAAATATAATGAATGAGTTTAAATTCTCGTATGGGAATAAAGTTGGGCCCGAAAAATATATCATGCCTTATAGGGGGCCTAAAGTTCCGCAGAGGGCAAAACAGAGGGAGAGGTTCAGCAGAGCACAACCCTAGTTTCTTTTTTGTAAATCTTTCTTCATCTCACTGATATTGCAAGTATTAGGTTTTGATTCATTGCATTTTTCTAATCAAGGAAATCACAGTTGAGAGTGTGAGAGTTTGACAGTGTGAGAATTGAGATCTCCGTTTCTCTTTCTCTACTGTGTTTCCTTGATTATAGGTATGTACTGAATCATGTTTTTCATCCTTGTTGATAGACAAATATGTTTATTTGATATAGTTTTTTGTAATGCATGAGTCCAATTGATTCCGATCTTATATTTTTTATCTTTTCTCTTTGTTGTGGTTTTGAGTATGAAACTTTCATTTTACCTTTTCTCCTTGCTGTGGTTTTGAATATAAAACTTGCTTAAGGTCCCTGACATCATGATCTCGCTTTAGTCTTCCGGAACTGATTGTCGTTCTGCTTCGCCTTAATGGAATCTGGTGAAATGTTTTTGAATCTGAAACATTCCTAATTTTGTCTGTTTTTTAATTTTTTTTATTTGAAAAAATATTTTGGGTACACGGAATCTCGTTTCGATGAAACTGGCTGGATCTCGCACAATGTTTTCAAAATTATGTTTTCAAAATTTTGATTATGTGATTTTTTATTTTAATCTGCAAATTATTAAGATTTAATCTCTAATGTGTAATTTCCTCTTTACATATTTTAAATGAAGAAGTGTTGTTACAGAGTTTAGATATTCAATATTTGATTATGTCTCGGTTATCTACTAATTTATTTTTGTTAAGATCTGTTTTAGTTTTTTTTTTTTCACTTTAATGGTTGGTTTGCAACATTGTCATTCTCCTTTAAAATTTCAATTTCTCCTGGTGTGTTTTCCTTTCCATTCTCAGTAGTAAATTAAACACCAGAATAAGAAGATTTATTTATTTATTTATTTTGTCTTTTTAATTCCAAATCCAAATACAAGATAACAAAGACATGTTTAGAATTTTTACTTAAAATCCATTGACTTTTCTATTCTATTGAAATTATTGTTTTAAGAATAGGATAATCCGTTCAATTAAATTAATCGGATTCATTTCTTTTAAATAATTATATTTTAATTAAATTAATATAAAAATAAAAAAATTACTGAATGTTTGTATTAAACTGATTTTGATAAAAAATTTATTAATTATCTTAATATTTTCTATTTTTTATATTTATTATTATTATTATAATATTTTTATAAAAATATTATTAATAATAAATCCATTATATCTTTATTATATTAGAAAAATATTATTTTATTAAATTTTAATTAGATATTTAAATTTTAAAATTAAATCTTTATCAAGTGATAGATCTAATTTTAAAATTACATAATTTAGGATTTAAAATAATTTATAACATTTAACGAAATATATTTTTTTAATTTGTTCTTAAATAAATATTTATCTTGAAATACTTTATAGTATGTTAATAGAAATTGAGAAAAATAAAATTAATAAAAACATTTTTCATTTTTAGTAGTATAATAAAAAAAATTTGTTGTATATTTTTTGAATATTAATAAAGTAATAAATATTTATATATTTATTACTAAAATATAATTTATTTCATATATATTAAAATAAAATTATGTATCTTTATGGTATGCTTAGAGAAGTTAATGAATTTGAGATTTTTTTCTTGTGAGTTTATTTTTTTATAATAATAATATTAATAATAAAATTTAAAAAATATTATTTTTAACTAATGTTTGAAATTGCTTTTGTGAATTATTGAAAGTGGATCTCCATAATAATTCATAAATATTTTTATATTTTTTTAAATATTTTTGTACAAAATAAAAGTTTCATCTCAATAAAAAAAATACATTAAATAGTTTATCGATCATGTAAGAGGTTTGACTATGATTAATAAAGTACTATGGTGGTTGAGATATGATAAGATGTACTTGGATTTACATGCATCTATCAAAAATAAATTTAATAACGTAAATAATTGAACTCAACTTTTTAAAAATTAAAATATTTGACGGAATCAAACGTAAAAAAGTAAAATATATTTCAGTAATTTTTTTTTAAATTATGTATAAAATCAATCATGCATATGCAAAATTAAGTTAATTATTTATGAATGTTGTTTTAAATTAAAAAAATATTGTTCAATAAAATTTATAATTAAATACCTAATTTTATTATGTTATAATGAAATAAATTAATAAAAAATATCTCAAGGATTAGTACATAAGGTAATTTTAAAGCTCAAAATTAAATTAAACACTCACAATATTAATTTTCAGTATAATTTTAAATAAATTACTTAAATTTATATTTCACTGTAAAATTCACAACATAAGATAATCAACTTTTAAACAATCATATTCAAATTAATATAATTATAACAGAAAAAAAAATAAGATAATCAACTTTTAAACAATCATTATTAGCATAATTATGTTGTTTAATGATATATATATATATATATATATATATATATATAAATAAAATTATTATATCAATATCACATGATATGATGAAATAAATTATATTAATTTATTCATTAATATTAAAAATAATGAAAATTAAAATTAAAAAATTATAATCTATAATTTATTATAAATTTTTAATATTTATGAATGTCTTTAATAAATTTTATTTTTCATTATTATATTTATTTAGTTCAAAATATTATTCTAAAAAAATTAAAACATATTAAATAGTATCTTTTGATAAATTAAAATTTTATTATATTTTAAATTTTTTATTTTCATACACTATTCATTATATAAAATATAATTTTCATATTATTATAAACTAAAGAGATATTCTATTCTTTGTTATGTGTAAACAAAATTAAATTAAATTTCAAGTATTAATTTATTTTTAATTAATAAATAATTATTTAATTGATATAAATTTGTGTATCTCATTAATTTCTTTACTTACAATACATTAAGGATGTTAGGTTGTAAATATAATAAAAAAAACACTTAAAAATATTAGGTAATAAAGTAAAAATATTCTTCTACTAAAATGTGCAGTATAAAAAGTTAAAAAAAAAAATGGAAAACTTTGATTAGGAAGCGTTGAAGTTTAAATTGAAATAAATCAATATAATAATTAATTTAAACCAGGTTAATTGGTTTAATGGATAATTCAAAAACACAAATGTAGGTGAATATATGATTCTCTTTGTACCCTTAACATTATATTATCAATTGTGGTTTACCATTTTTTCTTTTTTTTAACAATTAAAAGAATCATAAATTTTTTTTTCAACAGGATAATTTTTCATTAAATAAGGTCCTATCTTCTTACATGTACTTCTAAAACCAAGCTTCTGGACTGAGAATTTATGGCTAGGGAAAGTAGAGAGACCTTAGTCTTGGATAAAGGAAGATTGAAAAGGACTTTGGACGGTGACTGTGAGCTGGCTGGCTTGCAGCTGCATGCAGTACTCAGTGGGGTGTACCTACTTTCTGTTTTAGCTCAGTCCTATCTCCTAGGGTGGTCCAAACTTTTACATGCAATTGCAACATTACTTCCATGGCCATTTCCATTTTACTGCTATCTGTACCAGCAAGGTCACTAAGTATTCATGGTTATGTTCTTGTTATTTTGATAATATCTGTTATAATATTCTCATAAGTTTCATTCTCACTGAGACATAAGTTTTCATTGACAGACAATTTGCAATAAATGTTTAGAAACCTCAATGACCAACTAAAATAGTAGTTGTTTAGGTTATCTTCTTTTCCTAAAGCAATGACACGCTGTTCCAATGTCATGGTTGGAATGGTTGATTCTGAAAAAGAATGAGTTGATAGAAAAGAAAAGGTTAAATGTGGGGTGATTGTAAACATATCATATATATATATATATATATATATATATATATATATATAGAAGATTGTTGTAATTTGGTGTAAATAAATAGTGTTCATGTTTTGCATCTGTGCATGTGACTGATGTGAGTGTTTGGGAAGAAGAGTCTTAAACAGGGTCTCCAACTTAGTCAAACCTTACCCCAATCTAATATTCTGTTTTCAGACATTGTTGTACCTTATAAATTATTACATAATCACATCTCATGCATCATGTTTGTACAAATTATACTTTATCCCGGTTAACTGTTAACTTTATATTTCCGCAATATTTGGTTTCTTTTCCCAATTATGCAATGTTCAATCTACCACTACAATCATTCACCAAGCAGCATCTCTCAGGTTTATTATCAAGTTTATGTTGGATGCTTATACTTATACATAAAAAAGTTTATTTAAATATTAACATTCTTTGATTGAATCACTTGTGCAATGAATGAGAAGGTACTCTTCTCAGTCTGGCTATAGTGAGAGAGGAAGAGTTAAAAAACTGATATTGATTGAAGGTGAAAAATGAGGTGCTTGAAAGTTTGTCCTTCCTTTCTTTCATCCTTTGATCTATAATGAAATCAGTTCCGTAACAAAGAGAGAAGAAGAAAATTATTATAATGTATGACTAGTTGGCCTTTCATCACAGAAAAGCACATGCATTTGAATTATAGGCAGAACAGTTGAACTTAATAGCTATCAACCTCTTAATTGCCACCTTGTTTGGTGGACCTTCCCCAAGAAAATTTGGTGCCTAGAAACCAGTTAAGTAACTGTAATTGGGTGAAATTATTTGTGATTAAGACATGTGCTAGTAGTTTGGGATGCCTCTTGGTTTAATAAAATTTTCTCTAAAGAAAAGAAAAACCCTCTTAATTGCATCCCCATTCATGCATCTCTTTCCATCTTATAGGTGCATTTTCAGTCCATTATTGTTATTGTTTTTACTTCCTTTTCTTCCTTTAGAGGATTTACTAACAGACATATTAGTTTAAGACCTTTCATTCTCTATTGTACTTGGTGCTGAACCTTTTAGTCAGCACTCTATTACTGTTCCTTTTTCTTGCATGTTATATAGTTAGTACCATCTTGTGATCCATCCCATATTACTTAGATTGGCCATGAGTTTTGCCTATTCTGCTCCTTCAAACTACATATTTTCTTGAGTAACATTTTCTGCCTTGATACCCAGAATGGCTTTGAGATTTTTATCATGGAAGTGCCACTTAGTTCTTTGTTTTGTGTTCCACTTTTTGTCTTGTCTTTGTAAGGGCCAAGACTCTTCATTGTCACCAATGAAGAACAAAGAGAAGGAGATAATTTACTCTGTTATTCAAGGATTTGTAGGAAAGGGGTGGAACGGTTCGTATCTTTATCCAGATCCTTGTGGATGGACTCCTATACAGGTTTGAAATCTTGAACTTTCAAAGCAAAAAGATCAATCAGATAATGTTAATACCATTGTTTGCTTCCTTTTTCTGTCTGAATCACTACCAATTTCAATGGAACAGTACTATATTAATTCTAAAATGTTACCACTAAAAGGAAAGGTTGTGTTTATATTCGTTGCTCTGACAACTTTAAACATCTATATTTTGGATTATGTGCAGGGAGTTTCCTGCGAGCAATATGATGATGGCTTCTGGTATGTGACTACTGTAAACTTTGGACCATTTTTTGACAACTCTCTCCTGTGCAGCCATGACGCTCAATTGCCTCCACAACTATTCTATCTCAAGCACCTAAAAGTCCTCTCACTCTCCAGTTGCTTCCGTTCTCCTACTAAAAATCCTGTTAAACTCCCTCTTTCAAACTGGGACAATTTCTCACACAGTTTGGAATCTTTAACACTCAGATCAAACCCTGGTCTTGTTGGCACAATTCCATCCACAATTGGCAACCTTAGGAAGCTTCAATCTCTGGTAATTCTGGAAAATGGGCTAATAGGTGAACTACCACTGAGTATTAGTAATTTGGTCAGGTTGAGGCAACTAGTCCTTGCAGGAAACTATTTGGTGGGTGAGGTTCCAGCCAACTATGGAAGGCTTTCTGAGCTTTTAATATTTGATGCAAGCAGGAATAGTCTTTCAGGAGTTTTGCCACCAACACTTGGATTTTTGGATTCACTTCTGAAGCTTGATTTGAGTAGCAACATGCTTGAGGGAGAGTTGCCAAGGCAGCTGGGAAGGCTAAAGAATCTTACCTTACTTGATATCAGTTATAACAAACTTAGAGGTGGATTGCCTATGACTCTCCAAGAATTTGTTTCCTTGAAGCATTTAATTCTGTCCAACAACCCTATAGGGGGTGATCTCCTGGGTATTAGGTGGGAAAATTTCCAAAACACAGAAACATTGGACCTTTCTAACATAGGCTTGGAAGGGAGTGTCCCAGAATCCATGGCAAAAATGAAAAGGCTTAGATTTCTGGACCTAAGCAACAATAATCTCTCTGGAAATGTCTGTACAAGTTTGGAAAACCTGACTTCTCTTAGAGCTCTTCATGTAAATGGAAACAACTTGTCAGGGAGACTTGATTTCTCAGAGACGTTTTACATGAAAATGGGAATGCGTTTTGCAGCTTGGAATAATGCAAATCTCTGTTACATTGCCAAACCAAAGCACCAAATTCCTTATGGAGTAAAACCTTGTGTGCAGAACATTACTATATCTGAAGGGCTTTCAGCTATCAAAATAACTGAAGGGAATTACGAGGATTCCTTTGTAGTGGCCTCTTTCGGAGGCTCATGCTTTTATGGACTTTGGTGGGTTTTCACTGTAAATGGAGTTCTTAATGTTTTCCTTTGGAATATGTTATTTTAGTTCATCTCAGAAATCTGATATCATCACCACATGTATTTACTCCCTAGAGAAGTAGCCACAATTAAAACTTTTGTCATCTAATTTATCATTTCTAATTTATAATACATGCATTATGAATTTATGATAGCCCAAAATATGTTCATGCATTTTTCTCTAATCAACATATCCATGCACTCTTAAACCTTAACTCTTTAGTATATTTGATTTAACAATGAACGTGTATTCTCCAAAGCTTTTCTTTTCTGTCATGGAAAATTTTTTGCAGACCCTTTTTTGGTTAACTATGTTTTCAAGGTTAAATAACTTGATAAATGTAGAGTCAAATTCAGATGAACCAACCATAGCACATGCGCAATTTTTTTAGTGACTTTTAGTATTAATTGAAAACAAAACAAAATATATTAATTTCAATTTTTATATATATATATATATATATATATATATATATATATATATATATATATATATATATATATATCAACCTAATCACCTAATTTCACTCAACAACCTTGATCTCTATAAAACAGTTAAGACCAAGTCAAAAACCATTGTTACCCTTGGCAAGCAAAGCTCACCCACGACCCCCAAAACGTGTCCTCAATCCCTAACCCTCGTTAACAAACCCCATTTTCAACTTGAGGTCTCTTTTTAAGTCCAACGTGACCAACCCCATTATCTCCCATACCACCTGCACTTGCACTCTTTGGCATCAAGAAAGCACACACTGCACTAGAGAGTGTACCTGGAAATCCAACATGGCTATCCCCTTTAAAGCCTCATACCTTCTTTTCCTTTGCATGATTCTTTTCTGTGGTGTCAATTGCACTGAGTTCGAAGTTGGAGGCCGTGAAGGTTGGGTTGTCCCAAAGACAAAGGACGATGCTCAAATCTACAACCATTGGGCATCCCAAAACAGATTCAAGATTAATGACACTCTTCGTAAGTAACACTTTCTTAACAACTTAAATATATTGCATGCAACCATTTAATTTCTGCACATTCAAATATAGTATTGATATTTTTAAATAAATTATTGAATAATCCTGAATAATCACTTATCCATAGCTCCAATTATATTATATATGTCTACCTGTGGGGTGGAGTCAAGTCAAGGGGTGACTAGAAGATGCATCATGCATGATCACTCTCAAAATTTGTAACTTCCATTACAATTTTATATAAAAGTATATTATGCCACCCTGAGAAAGAAAAAAATGAAGAATTTTTGTTTTGATGTCGTTTTAAATTTTCATGTATGCAAATTGCATGTCATGTTAAAAAATCATATAAATTCATAACCTGACAATTTTTTCCTGCAAAAAAGTCATAGAAATCCATAATCATATTTTTTGTTTCCTTCGTCTCTTTGCATCATAACTCCTGTTATATGTATATTTATGTGCTTATTTTGTTTTAGTAGCACATAACAAGAAGTGTGTTTGTTTTTTTGGTTGAACTTTTGGATTGTTTAAGTTTTCAAGTACGAGAAAGACTCAGTTATGGAGGTGAGTCAAGAAGATTATGGAGAATGTAAATCCTCTCATCCCCTCTTTTTCTCCAACAATGGTGATACTGTCTTCAAATTTGATCGGTCAGGCTTGTTCTTCTTCATTAGTGGTGTTCCTGGTCACTGTAACAGAGGGCAGAAGATGATCATCAAGGTTTTGGATATTGAGCCAACACCCCCACCCCAATCTGCAAATGACAGTGCACCAAAGTCACATTCAAAAAGTGGAGTTGCTGAACTGACTCCTACGAGGATAATAACAGCATCCACACTTGTTGTTATGTCATCCTTCTTCCTTCATCTTTATGTTTAATTTTTGTGTTATCAGAGTCTTAGGTTTAAGTGTGTAGTAGCAGTTAATTTGCTTTTGGTCATGTATAAGCGTTGGATTTTGTTATTAGTTAATATTTATTGGGGTTATAGTGTTTAGATTTGTCCTATGATTCAACATGATTTATTCTCTGGTCACTTCTTTTGAAAATGATGTTTCTTAATTAATATGAACAATGAATGATAGTATGAACTAATATTGATCTGAGAATAATCCGTAATATGACACTCCATAACTAAAGTTTCATTTCATTAATAAATAATAGAAAAAATAGGCGTTATGCATTTTTAATATACATAACCATTAGACACTAAATAATGAAAAATTTAAGATAATAAAATTATCAAATTTTATATAAGATATTTTTTTTATATTTTACCTTTTTTATTTTTGTTTTACCCTTTTTTTTCTTTTTTTTAATATCTTAGATTAGATCAATAACTTCATTAAATTATTCTCTTTCTTTTATTTTTATTTTTATTTTCACATCTTTTTCATTTATTCAATTAATTTGGTTTTTTTAATTTTTTTAACCAATTTTATACACATAATTTTTTTTTACTTTTTTAGATATTTTACATTAATCTTAATATATTTTATTTCTAATTTATCTTTATTATATTTTACTTTATTAAATTTTTTATTTTATTATTTCTATTTGTTTTATATCAAATTTTATATTGATAAAATAATTATATTTTAGAAATTAAAAATATTGATAATTAAAACGTGTATTATATGAATTAATTAAATAATAATTAATTTATTAAATATATTTTTATAAATTATATATTTCATATTTATAAATATTTTAAAATAACAACTTAAAAAATAATATATATATATATATAATCAAATGTTTAATAAAGTGTTAAAATAATAATAATAATATTATTATTATTATTGTTCTATATTGCGTAAAAGAAAAAATAATTAAATATATATAATTAATAATAATAATTAAAAATTATTAAATTATAAATATTTATTTTTTATATAAATTATAAAAATTATAAAAATTAATTTATTACAAGTATAATTATTTTTATAGAAATAATATAAAAGAAGAAATAAATAAAGAGGGGAGAAATCCAAAATTCAACAGAATTTAATTCTTAATCCAAATAAGGAGACAAAATAAGAAGACAAAACCTACCACCTCCTAATGTAATGACTAATCACCTTCTGATGTCATGACTAGTCCTTAATTAAATAAAGTATCATAAACTAATCTAACTGGTAATATTTTCTCATTCTTAATTATTTTTAGTTTTATAACCGAACAAATAATATTTTAAAATTTTTCATCTTAGTATAATATCTAATAATTATAAATCTATATTCTGTAATTTATACATATAATTATATATAAAAGATTCATTTTTTAAAATATTTTCTACTTTTATTTATCTCCAACAATTTATAATATTAGAAATAATAATTATATTTTAAAATTAATCTATATTTATATGTTAAATTTTAATTCATTAAAATAAAAAATAATAAATACTATAAAACAACCTAAAAAAATTTATGTTATGTGTTCAATAATTAATTCTAAACATATAATATTATATTTAAATATAATAAGGATTAATTTGATTTAGTTTTTAATTTCTAATGAAAACTTTCAAATTATATTATTGGGAAAATAGTTGATCTAAATACTAAAAAATATTAATCGATAATTTTTGTCAATTTTTAATTATTTTTTATCAATTTAATTTTAAACACCTCTAAAGCTAGTTATGTAGTTTAGTAAATTTTCGTGGACTCATAAAAATCATATAAACAAAATACAAATTAAAAATAAAATTTAATTATCATAGTTCTTCCAATCTCGAATATAATCGTATATAAACAAAAAATAAAATATTATCATTTATTTATTGAATATCATTTATTTGTCTTATAAAATATGATAAAATTAATTAAAGCAGTATTACCATAATTGAAACAAAAAGCATTGGTTGGACTCAGTGTTTAGCATTAGTCATTGTTCTTTTTAAAAGCTACTTATGAAAGTTAATGATAAAAATTACAAGAATATTACAGTTCAAGAATAAGTAGACAAATTTGAGGCTGAAGAACCAACCGTTTGTATAATAATCTAATAATGTTTGACTAATTTACAACACAATACATCCGTGACTAAATTTAATATTGGCAAAAATTTTTGTGGGTTGTGTGCCAAGAAGATCTAAAGAAAATATACCCACAGTAAAGCAGCATGTGTACAGCTAGTGCCTCACAATCTGCCGCTTGTCATCTGAATTTCTCTTTCCATAAGGATTGTTGTCGCTGAATCCATGTCTACTTCCATCAACTTTACGCATTTTCTTCCTTTGCTTACTGCTGTTTATGTTTAGTGTCACGTTTGGTGGGTTTGAGAAACAAAACGAAGAAGCAACAGCCTGCTCAAGTACCGAATTTGGAGTTATCATATTGTATGAAACATGTCATACTATTCAAATAATATGACTATAAGCAATAACTCTTACTTCTCCCTTTTATATTATCAAGAAAAGGCTATCAAAACCATTAAAGTCTCTCAAAATTTAGAGAATCAATCAGTTTCATAATGATTTTTGTATGTCTAACATGACATGATGTGCCTTTTAACTGTTCAAACTTTCACTTTTGTTCCAGTAATTTATTACCAATCATCTATTTCATTTTCAATATGTCCATTTAACCCGCTATCCTATCCTGAATCTTTTGGTCAAAATTAAAGGAAAATATAAGAATAGTAACATGATTTGAAATACCAGCTGCAATAGTAGTGCACAATTGCATATAAAAACATTACCTAGATCAACTTAGATAATTATCCCGCAGGAGTTCCACATTTATTTAGTTCTTAAAAAAATGAAAGATAATACAAAAATACAAAATGTAACACATGTGAAAGCCGCACCTGAAAATCAAGACGGTGAACATTGAATATATCTTTCATGGAATGTGAATTATAAGCTAATATGTATGATCTATAAGCTTCTTTCGCCATCTTGTTCAAATAAAAATTGTTGACAACCAAATTCTCCTGAATTATCAGGATAATCATTTGTAAGATTGCAGTTCGTTACTAAATGAAACAAATTTAAAAAAAAGTATGAGGAAAGGAATGTACCAGGTGAGATCGTACATTTGCCACCTTCTTTTCATCATATGCATACTCTTTGACAGGGACCTTAGCTGCCTGAAATTAAGCATAAATATAAAATTATTATTAGGGATAAGCAGAGATATAAAATGGGCTCTGAGAGTCTCGGGGCCTGGCCTGGGGGAGTAGCAACCACTGCTTCCCACTAACATTATATTCTAGGCATGATAATCTTAAGGTACTGAAGGAATATTATATTCCTACTTTCTTGGATAAGAACATGCATAAGCTAGAATTTTCTACTTAATTATAATTCAGCCAGCTTACCAATCTACATATGAGAAAAACTGACCTTTAGGTAGCGGAGAAATTGCAATTCTTCAGGAATCAAGAAAAGCAAAGCATTTCCTTTTCCACCTTCACCTCGAGCTGTTCTACCAACCCTGTGGATATATTCCTGATAGCAGTATAAAAAGTGTTATACTGTATATAAACGTGCAAGACTGCTAAGATGCAATTGAAAAAAAGGATACTGATTGATAAATAGAAGAATGAAAAATACCTTCGGTTCATCAGGTGGATCATACTGAACAATCCAGTCCTACAACACAAATAAGGAGAAAACCAAACATAAATCTTATATATCTGATAATTTTCTATTAACAGAACATAATGCTGCATAAACAAAGAAACCAAATTAAGATATAAATTTACAAAGGGGATTCAGAAAGACAGAATTTTCAGGGATAGCATTGTCATTTTATCTATTAGTGGGATAAAATGGTTTCTTGAATCTATCGCTGCTCAGTTAATGGTTTAGAGGGTTGTCATTGGAAATACAGGTATACGATAGGCATTCGTGGGTTGATATGATTTACATGATGATTCTGCGTTTATACCGTTTTGTGAAGGAAGGTTTTTCTAACTTTGTACTCTTCTATTTCTTTCCTGAGGTGTCTACTGTTGCCTCAATTTATTTTAATTTTAGACAGTTATTAGATTGACTCTGATTGTGCATCTAGTTCGTAGAAAATCTTTTAAGTTGAAGACAATTAAGTCATTATTCAATCTAGAAATATCCATGTAAGTTGATAAGGAAAATGAATATACCACAGCAGGAATATCAAGTCCACGAGCAGCAACATCAGTACATAGCAAGATCCCCTTTTCTGCTTTGCAAAAATCAAAGAAGGTAGTTGTCCGGGTCTGCTGCTTTTGTTTTCCATGAATACTTGAACAATTCAACTGAATGAGATTAAGAATGTCTGCGTGGAATTTGACAGAGTTGCATGAAGAGAAAAAGACCATCACTTTTTTTGACTGGTGTCTTTTCAAAAAGGAATATAGAACAATAAAGCGCTTGGCACAGGGTACAACAACATAACCCTGAAGCAATCCTTCGTTCGTGACCTGCATTCGCAAAGGGGCTATGATAATTATAATTACAATTATATCTAAACAAAATTCAGCTATTATGATAAAGTGGGGAAACATCACCTTGGTTCTCCCATCATCCACATCAATATAGACAGGAGTTGTCTGAAATGACAAGCGAGCAAGATCTTCCACCTGTAAATTTTAAGGGGGCATATTATTCAGAACCAAAAACAATAAGAATGATTACATTCCCTTATTTTTACTTTGAAGTAAAGCATATATTATCAAACAAAAAATTGTAGAATACCGAGCAAAAAATTGCATATACATGAGAAAGAAAATGAAGGGAGAGCTACACATTAAAAAGTAATGATACCAACCCCTAGTGTACCCAAATATATATATATATATATATATACACACACACACATATGTATGCTCCTATGTGCAAAAAACATTCGTAATTGAAAACAATGAAATTAGGATTTTATATTAGAAAGAAATTGATGAAGGAAGGAAAATGAAGAACAGTACCTTCTTTGTTTGTGTAGCGGAAAATAAAGCTGTTTGCCTACTCTGTTGAAAAAGAAACAGATAAATTAGTCAGGCTCACAGATATTAGCTAAAAACACATACTACATATAAACTTATTTGTGCCCCTACATAAAAATATGAGCAAGATGATACAACATACTAACAACTAGCAGAAAATACAACTATAGGCAAAACAACTGTAGTTATTGGTGTGTCTAGCTAACTGAAGCAGCTTCTTCCAGTCAAAGTTAATAGATTCCTAGGCAGAATTCATAATTCAACTTTTCCTCTATGATAAGAGGAAAGTTATATTTTCAAACTTTATAATCGTTGAAGTCTTTTTTTAGGTGTTTCTCCAGCTAAACAATCCAATGCAGAGGGCAAATGGGAGAGGAAAACTAGCAATTTCAGGACACCAATACATATTCATAGGCTCATGCATATCAAAGGGAAAGGGAGAGGGAGAGGGAGAGGAAAAAGAGAAAAAAGTTCTACATACCTTTGGAAGGATCTTAATAATCTGCTTCATTTCCTCCTCAAAATTTGCTTCTAAGATTCTGTCAGCTTCATCAATCATGAGGCACTGCAAAATCAAGCAGAAATTTAGAGTAAGAGAATAGCCCAAGTCTACACTTACTTACACATGCATGCAAACATCCACTCGAATTCCAAATATTTGAATGAAAGACCTAAGTTCAAGAAAATTCAGTCCAAAATGGAATTCTGACATCAAAATTATGTATAATATTTCATAGCTGAATAGCTCGTGAACTGAAGGTGATTTTATTTCCTTCCTGTTTTCTCCCACACAAGAACACACCAAACTAAACATGTGACAGCTAAAAACTAAAGACATGAACAATGTTAGAAAGCTAGGCAAACATAAAATATCAGCCAAATGCAAGATGAATAAAGTTTCAATTGAAATATTATGGATATTTTGTAGCCAAGCAGACTGTGAGAAGGGACCCTAATGAGGGTTCTTGAAACTCTAAAATAGATTTTAAAACAAAAGTGATAAGATTGCTGAAGCCATTAATCACTGAAAAAAAATTTGAATTACAATCACCTAAAGGCATGATTAATCAATATGATAATCGTTTGTCAGCAGTATTGACAATTGTATGAACAATCCACAATTCACCTTTAAATTTTTATATATGAATCCTTTTGTGTTTTGAAGATGATCTAGGAGACGACCAGGAGTTGCTACCAATAGATTTATCCCTTTAGCTAGGCGTTCAGCTTCAAGTTTTCTAGTTGAACCTCCAATAACCAATCCAAGAGTTTGTGAATGATACTTGAGAAGCTCCTTGGCCACAGCATGTGTCTAATAGAATGATGAATCAACAAATAAGGAAAACTATTTAATCAATACCTCAAACTAAAACAATAATGAAGCAAAGAAAATACTCTACCAACAGCACATTTTAAAAAAAAAAAACAAAGAAAAAGGTGTTGGATACCTGTATTGCAAGCTCTCTAGTTGGGCATATAACAACAACACCAGCTCCATTGCGAGGTGTAAACTTAACATTGTACAACAGCTCCACCGCAGGAATTAAGAAGGCAAGAGTTTTTCCAGAACCAGTCCTTGCAGCTCCAAGAACATCTTTTCCGATCAAAAGTGGTGGAATTGCTCTCGCTTGAATCTGCATTCATGATTTATAATCAACTCTACTGTATTACTAAAAAACAACTATCCTCAAAATGTATTGTACAGAATATCAACAGAGAAAACTTTTCTTAATAATTTCTAGGATTATGAAAGATGAAACAATTAAGCACCATTCAAATTCAGCACACGCGTATCATTACCTGAGTCATGTGGTGGAACCCCATGTCCATAATGGCCTTATAAGTAGGTTCAGACAATCCCAGAGATTCAAATGACTCAGAACTCATAATTCCAGACCCACCATTGTTCTTCACCTTTCTCTCTTTCACTTCACTTTCGCCTTCCACCTTCGTCTTCTTCTTATTCTTATTCTTCTTCATCGAGGAGTCTTCATCGCTATCTATGTTATTCCCATTCTCCTCTTCTTCTGGACGCTCCTCGGTAGTAATATCCCGAGGTCGTTTTTTGTCACGCTTCTTCTTATCCTTACTCTTGTTCTTCGTTTCGTCCATAGGCAAGGCTTGAAAGTTGTCTTCTGCTTCTGCCATTATCAAATTTTGCAGCACCTCAACCTCAATCGCTAGGTCCTATCTTCTTCTTCTCCCCCTTGTTAAACCCTACTTTCGCACGCTTCGTATGCACGTGCGTGGTGTGGGACAGGGTCAACGGCTGCACGGATCGGGCTGGGCTTTAATTAAGAATTGGTGAACCCAATTTTGCTAATATTGGGCCAACAGTGATCTTTTATTTGGACTAGGAATATTCAATTTAAATGTAAAACCTTGTTTAAAGGAAAGTAAGAACGTAACAAAACACTAGTTGATAATATTATTTGTATATGTAGACAAAATATGATAGAAAAAAGATAAATAAGTCAACAAAATTGTGAAGGAATGGATATCAATAAAAATTTGTTCAGTAAAATCATTAAATAAAAAAATTATTTATTTTTAGAATTTTAAAACTAATATTAAACTATAAAGTATCTATATTATAAATTTGTTATTTTTTAGACTACTAATTTAGACGGCATACTTAGCATAAGTTTTTATTAAATGACATATAATAAGAACTTTTTATTAATTGACATCAATAAATATATTTTGGTGTATTTTAGAATTGTTTTGGAATGAAAAATAATAATTGGTGTAATGTAATCATGTGTAAATTTATTAAACTCTGGGAAATTAACTTCTCTGTTGATTTACAGTGAAACTTAAAAGCAAGTTGCAGGTAGAAAAGAACATATCCGAAATATATAGAAGTGTGTTACACATTTTGTAGTTCTTTAATGAGACAAGGGGACATCATTAGGCAGAACAATAAAGCAACCTGGGAAGAACACTGAAAAAGGGAAACATTATGATGAAGAAACAGTGTATTAGAACTATCAGAATCGAATTTCCCTAGTTCATGTCGTTGCATGAAGACAATAAGCTGAATTTGGTCACAACTTTCATTATTTCCACTGCACTTAATTATGTTCCTCTCACTTCGCAATAGGATCCAAAATGCAATGAATATATGGAAAATAAAATTAGTCAATTTTGCAAATATATGTATATAGTGGTAAGATTTAAGAAGATTTTCTGCTTGGATGTTCAAATAATTTGTGACAAGCAATAAAATTTCTTGTAATTCATCATTGTTCAATGGATCATATTTCCCACTCAGAAGTTATGTTCAGTGGTGGAGTAAAAATAATAATTCATCAATAAATCTGTGTGAGACTAATAATTGTATTGTCTGCGTTATATTTCTGTTGGGGCATGATTTTTTTTTTTAAGTTTAATCTAATTGCTTTTTAAATAAGTTAAAGTAGACATTTTGTTAGTTTATAATTAACTTTAACAAAAAAATTAAACGTTAGTAATTAAAAACTGCTATAAAGCAGTGTTTTAAATTTTTTTTGGAACAATTAGTGTTGGACTTTTCAAATTACTGTAATTAACAAATTTTAAAATGATTCACCTTCCTAACAAATTCTCTTTCCTTCCAATCTCGTTCCTCCTCAGTCTTCATCATTGGTTTATTATGTTATAAATTAATTTAAATTTTTAATATAAATTTTTTTATTTTATTTATTATTAGTAGTAATCTAAATACTTAAATCTTTTATTAATTATAATATTTTTAATATAGAGTTATTATTGAGAATAATGCATAAGTTGAATATAGAATTATTATTTATTTTTAATTCTTAATTCTTAATAAAATTATGTCGAATATATTTATAATTTCTATATTATTTAAGAATTGAGATCAATCATTTATATATTGGTAGATCGAATAAATATTATTAAATAAAAAAAATTAAAACACTAGTTTTTTTTCTTTATTAAATACTTTGAAACATGTCGAGGAATCTTTTGTCATACACCAACAAATTTTAAGAAATGAGTGCACTTAAAAAATTTAAAATACTATCCCTCTATTCATATTATTATATATTTAATTTATTCTTTAGTGCATTCTGATTAAATATATGTTATATTATCGAAAATGTTTTTCTTCATAAACTATTTATTACTACTTATTCTAATAGAATATATATAGTTAGGAATGTTTTCTTATGTTGAAAAGTTATTATCTGAGTGCCTATTCTAATCAAACAATTTGTAGGTAAAAGAGAAAAATGAGAATATAGATATTTTATTATTATCAAATTAATAAAAGTAATTCTCTAATATTTTATTTATTTACTTTTCTATAATTGTCTAATATTTTATTTATTTACTTAACTATATATTATCACTCCTTATGTTTTTGGAAACCTAATCTCATTTGTGTTTGCCCAAAATGAAGACGTTTCAGCACGTTTTATTTTTTTACTTAATATTCCTACACACTATTTATTATTTATGATTTATTTTATATTTCCTGTTGGATTTGAATTTAATATATTTTTAGTTACTATTTTTGTTTTTTAAATATTTATTTTCATGATCATTCTTTTGTTTTTTTTTTTAACAAAAAAAAAGTAATGTATGCAAAGCGTACGATTTTTTTACCCAAAATAACGACTACTTTTAAATGTAATCTAATAAATATATTTTAAAAAATTATTTTTAGGGAACAAAGATTCACAAAAACAATATACTTTATAATTATTTCTTTAAATATTTTTCTTATAATTTTACTCTTAAAGTTATAATAAATTTTTCTTATATATTATGTTCTTATTTTATATATTATATTATTAACACAGATAAAAAAGAAAGTTAATTTATAATTATAACAATTAATAAAAAAATTATTTTTACAATTGTAACGATGTTAGAAATCATTATTATAATGATACATTCGTGTAAACAAGTAAATAACAACATTTATATTACATTATATTACTATAATTGTAATATAGACTGAAATTCCGGTTCATTAACGAACCTCAAAACATAATAACATAATTTATTTATTTAGATACATGCAAAACTAACTCCCACAAAACTATTCCACTGAACAATCCCTACTATCCAGTAGTTACATCTTCACCTCTCAACTCCTGATCTGCTCCCACATAAAAGTGATTATCGCAGTCTCATCCACATGAAAAAATAGGGGTAAGTATTAAATCATTTGATATAATAAAATAGATATAGAAGTAATAATTACATATTATCATAAATTACAAATCATCAATACATTAAGACAACTTCCAGAAGTATACCCTAATTATGCCCGAACTCAGAGACTATCATCTGTGAGCACATTGTGATCGGCACTCACAGTATCATTCTGACCACCCTCCACACAGAGTGAGATTATTAGCGCCCTTCATCACTCATTTTGGAGTACTCCTCCGAGCGCGCCACCAGTCATCCTCCATCAACTTCTCACTACCTGATCTCGTAGTCTACTTAACCCGACCATAAGTGAAGTTTGGGACTTCATCGAAATCCTCTGACATAGTTAGTACACTAATATACTCTGTACCACTCCGGGTACCATTCAAATACAACAACAGTCATTCACATCTCCCGGATTCTAGATCATCTGTCCTCACGGCTCATTCGAGTCAATAAATAATAGTACTTGACTGATTATGGGCACCAATCCTCTGGCTCAGTCTAGCTAATATATAACATCTCATAACTGATTTTGGGCATCAACCGTCAAACACACGTCACAACATATTGTTGATTCTTTAAAATTTCAAATTTTATTCTATATTTTAATTATTTTTCCTAACATACCTTTACTTTATTTCTAAAATTCCAATTGTATCTTTAAACATTTTCTATTATTCCTTTTTCATCCCGAAATCATTAAATTATTATTTTGCCCTTAATCTTTTCTTAAAATTTCATGTATGTCCCTAAATGACTATTTTACCCTTGGACATTTTCTATTATTCCTTTCATGTCCCTAAAATGACTATTTTACCCTTGGACATTTTCGATTATTCCTTCCATGTCCCAAAAATAACTATTTTACCCTTGGACATTTTCTATTATTCCTTCTATGTCCCAAAAATAATTATTTTACCCTTGAACATTTTCATAAAGTCCATTTATATCCCTAGGATGTAAAATGACTATTTTACCATTGATCTTTTTCAAAAAAATCCCTCTTATCCTCTTTTTCAACCTCGCATCTAATAACTATATCAAATTTTGTAGATTTCCAATTTCTCAATATCAGACAACCAAACTGGTTTCAAATTTAAATTAAACATGAAATATGTTCAATTTAAGTCAAAACAACAATTTTATCATATAATTTATCCTTAATTTCAAGAATTTTAAGAAAATTTCAAAATTTTCAAACATGAAGAAATATTTAAAATCAGTCGTTCAATACTTCAAATTTTCACTCCTATTTCTTATTTTTAGAGTACCCAATTCAATCTCATATATTATATGAATTAAACTTTCCCTTACCTTGTGTTGTATTTCTACCGAAGTTTTGACACTTAATCCAAACTCTCTCCTATTTCATCAGATGCTACACGAGTAAAGTATCGTTTGCTTAAAATTTAGACCAAAGAAGAATAAGGACAAAGAACGCGTGATATGGGAGGAAGAGTTTCTTGTTGTAATCATTTATCCCCTTTCGTACATATATAAAAAATTGGCGTGCAGGATAAATTTCACTACGAAATTTTTACAAAGTAATTTGTGCACAATAATATTATTATAATATAAAAAAAACATACGTCACCAACAATTATTTATTTAAAGTATATTTGTTAATTATTACATTAAAAAATTATGCACATGCAAAAAAACAACAAAATATTTTCATTAGTATTAGTAATATAACTAATGATTTATCAACTATTCAACTTTTGTATTGTTTTCACCCGCTTCTATGGTTGAAAAATTAAATAAATATGTTATAAGCAAATTTATAGTAAATCACCAGTTAAAATTTACTTAATTAATATTCTTATTCGTGTTAAGATTTTTTTCCCTTCTTAATCTTTGGTATTCTTTTTTCATCAGCAACTTTTATAAGTTCTGTATAAATTTCATATTAAAAATAAAATATTTTACTTTATTAGTGTCAAATATACATAAAACAGAAGTGCGTTTTAAGAATGCAC